ATTTCCATTGCATGTATTTCAGCTTGATATACGGGGCAATATATCGCCCCGGCCAAGAACGAAGTCGCCCCCTGAAAAAATTCCTATGAGTCAATATCTTGTAAGATAAACTTACCGCACAATGAAAAGGTGTAAAACGGCGGCAGTCCAACGTATACCGAGAGGAAAATCGTTGGAGCCATCCATATTACCCCAGTCACTCCCCTGCACTCCCTCCTGTTCGCAGATCACTTAACAAGGGCCGTATAAATTCCTACCATAGGACTAATACCCCAAATTTTGTCAACAGAACTCCAACATCGATGACCGATCTTCCTCTTTTGATGACCGATCTTCCTTTTTCAATGACCGTGTTTATATGAATATTCCAGGAGAGACTATCATCCACGGTTACCCTTAAACATTCGTGGAGTACTAATCTACTCACCAAACAAAGTGAGATTTATTAATCGCTTCTATGTGTTTAGTGAAGGTAACCAATGTACTCTTGCTGGATTTTATATTTAGCATCACGCCTTTGCGCCACCTCAACACAACCTTCGAATTATGTTGCAGAAGATCTTAAAAAAACCCGTGACGACAAAGACCACATTATTAGCGTAGCATATATGTTATTAAGAATGGGTTCGATGGGAAATTTCAAGTTTTGGACTTATTAATTATTTAATGAGATTATGCGATTCGACGAATCTAAATTATTTTCTTCAAAGGTAAGTTATTTTAAGTACAAATTTACAGATGTTTTGTGTTTTATTTAAACTTAAATAAACTGAACACTCAAAAATTCAATCACTTTAATAAAGTGTTTTAATTGAGAACTTTACGACATTTTACTTATGCTGTTATCACGGCATCATTTAAGAATTTTCTATTACATTTTATTTTTAATAGCAATAATAATAAATTTTTTTTTTTTTAAATTCTGAAAAATCAATTAAGTGTTTGTACTTGTATGTACAGTTAGAAAATCAATAAAAATTTTAATATTTTCTAGATTAGAAAATTTTTACATTTTTTATTATTTTTACAGTTTAATAAATTGACTGACATTTCGCTCTCGATCATAGAAAAATATTGTAAAGCTCAATCAATTATTATTTAAAATGGTTCACTTGATCAGTGTTGTAATTGAAAAATAGTTCAGAATAGTTTATTAATTAGATAAAAATCTAAAAAGTAATAAAATTTGTAATAAAAACTTAAAAAAAAATTTGAACTAGATCACTTGTACGTTTATATTCTTACACTTTAACCCCATTCAGTATAAGAGGCACGTACTAATATGATTTTGATGGCAATTGATAATGATGATGAAGTTTTTCTTCTCCAGTAAGCAAGAATCAATTTTATTCTTAATTTTATCCATAATTAATTAAAAATTTTTAATAATTAATTTAAAATTGCTTAGTATTGCAATAATTTGGTTGATTCTCTGTTAAAATTAGAAATAATAATATGATAAATAAAATTAAATGAACTAAAAAAATAGTAATAATTTTTCTACATTTTAGGCAGATTGAAACAAATGACTCGAAACTGAACTTATTTGTACAAGCTCATCAGAAATCAAAATACTCGCTTTGAATTGACTTGCTGTTTTTTGGAAAATTGAACAGGTTCTCTGTAACAACTTTGAATATATTCGAATAATGGAATGACTTCAGTTAGGCAATAGTTGTATTTTTTGTGGCAAGCTGTAAAGGTTTAACATTTAAATTGGTAGTAAACAGTACCCCTTTATAGATTAAAAACAAAAGTATTCTATTCCTTTGTAATTACTACTTCGCAAAATATACACATATTTTCCATTATTTTAGAGCCTTGAGTCCGTGTTGTAGTAATTTCAACTCTGTATACATGCACGCATATTCTGAATAACATTCACGAGATTCATTCTCTTTCGTCTGTTCTTCAACAAGTGGATAACCATTAAAGAAAAGTATTGAACCATAACACTATGAATTCAATAAATTCATTAAACAATTGATTATAAATTAAGATTAATTACCAAGAAGCTATTTAAATTTCAATCACCTAATAGGCGTTTCATTATATAGTATTACCGTGTTTCTTATTTATAAAATTAAAAATTTTTTTAAATTAATTTTTACATTAATTGCATATTTATCTCAATCAAAAGACATTTGTTTAGATTTTACTTGCATACAATACAGTCAGGTTACAACCAAATTCTTTTTCATACCGTTAATGATTTTTACTTTTGCGATTCCTTGGAAAATGTAGAAGAAATTTGTTACTCCATTTATAATGCTTGTGTGAAAATAAACTGTAGATATTTCTTTTTTCTATTCTGTGTAAAGTCCTCTCTTTTTAGAATAGCCTTAGAAGTCATGAAGTTAGCTATATTTCAAGGATTAAGCCCTGTTTATTGGGCGAAACTAATTAAAAATAATTTACTGAATTAAAAAATTCAATCACAATGACGTCACTTTCCTCTCTCTAAAAACCACGAACATATTATAAATTTGGCCAATATTTTTCATTCTCTCTGCAAAATAACACTAAAATTAGAAATATTTCCCAAATTTTATGAAAATAAATTTCATAATTTTACGATTCTCTCCAAAAATTAATAAATTACTATGCTTCTTCCTTACAAAACTTTTAATTTTTCTAAAAAGAAATCCTAGGCAAAAAAAAATTGATTTTTATCTTTAATGAATTTTTATTTTTCCAGCTCATTAATTTTAAATTAACTTTTAACATTTTATATAAAAAATTTCATTTTTTTTTTATTTTAGTAAAAGAAAATTCATTAAAATTAATGGAAATTTAATATTTCAATAGGTTAAACTAAAAAAATTTTACAGATAGCTGTAGGTAAAATGTAAAATATTTTATGAAAAACTTAAGAGTTGGAATATAGTGGCTATTATACAATAAATTTAATAAAAATGTTACTACTATTAAGATTCAAAAATTTTATAATAAAATAAGATATTGTTGAGTTCAGGAATTTTAATTAAATTTCCAAATTAAATATTATTTTATTTATTAGATGAAATTTTTCAATATTACTAGAAAGTTTTGTTGAAATCTTTAACAATTTAATCAAAATTATTTTTTTTTAGAAAAATGCGGATGTTATTATTACTTCATATTATTAATAATATAAGTAAGGGAACATTTTGGCAACACTACATTATGGTCCAAACACCAACGCTTGTGTATGTTAAAATCGAAATTACTGTTTACTTTTAATTAGAAATTAAGAGAAATTGTGCCTGGGTTTTATATTAATTTTGCATTATGCAATAACAATCGTCAAATATTGTCATAAAAAGGAAGAGAATTTTATTGTTGCTACGCCTGCTATGTCTAAGAATTTTGTTGTTGTTAAGCCTAATATATTGTCCAAATCATATTAAAATCATTAAATCTAAAATTTAACTTTCATTATGCCTTCTCAAATCATTTTTTAGAATCAGAATGCCTTCTCAAATAATTTCTCAATTTATAAACCATACGATTTTTTCTTATATTTTAACAGAATTCATTCGTATATATACAATGATTTATTAAATTAATTTATTGCTTAATAATAGCCCATAATTTATAAATAACCAACAAAATATCATAAGATTAATAAGTTAGGTTGTGAGACACATACATACATAACAACTGCATTAATATTGTAATAAAAACTATATTTAATTTTATTTTTTTTTTTAATGCAATTTGTAATTTTAAATTACATATCAAAAATTATGATAAATTTCAAATAATAATAATGAAAAAAAAAAAATTGTAATAAATTTAATTGTTTTTTAGCCTTAGGAAATGGCAATAAAATATTGTAGAGTCTTTCACCTCCTCCTCCTTTAATACAGTTATTAATAATGCAAAAATTTCCATTTCTTTTTCCAAATGGGTTTTTGTTTTTTGCTTTTGCAAGAAAAAAACTGAGATTTGCACTTAAACTTTAATTTTCTAATGCAACTCTTTGTATCGCGTTCTCTTTTCCTTTTGTGTATATGAAATAGTCTGAGTATATTTCAAATATATTTTGTGTGTGTGTTGGAAAAGAGTAGTTTTTCCTAAAACTGGTTTTCTTAATTTTTCCTAACATTTTTATTTTAATTTTTTTTTTTTTGTTTTTTTTAAGGTAGAAAGCGATTAAAGAGGAAAAATAAGTTGTTTTTATTATAATGCTTATAAAAAAAAAAATTGAACTGACATTTTTATATTAAAAATCTTGCAACAATCTATGCTTTTAAAGGCACTATTTAAGAAGGCATATTGTAAAAAGCAAAATTGCTATTTCGATAGTTTTTTTTCATGTTACTTTGCAAAATAAAGCTATAACAGTATAAAGCTATACAGCAACAGTATATAAGTGAAAATTTTATTGGCCTATGTATATTTAGTATTGCCATGTTAAAATGGTAGCGATAACACAAAACAAAATAACATTACTTAACTCATTTTCAAGCAACTATATAGAAATCATCTAGTAATTGCATGAAGTGTCTACTATGCCTAATTATTAGGTATCAAAGAAAATTCTGATTTCTTATAATTTGTTTTTCATTTGAAAAATGCAATTTATTCTAATTTAGTTGAGAGGGTAAGGGTATTTAATTAATAATGCAATAATAAAAATAATATATAAATTTATCCCCTATAAATATGCAATTTTTTAAAAAATTTAATTTAATCTGGGAATAGTTAATATTCGACAATTTCTTTCTAAATCCCTAACATAGCTAGATTGTACTAAAAATCTGTATTCGAGTTTTAATGGAAATAAAGGTATTGCCAGACAATAATGAATTTCTGATTTTAAGATAAATATTATGATAAATTTGACGGTCAAATATTAGAACAAAATTAAATTAATTCGCATAGATTAAAAAAAAAATTCTTAAAATTTAAATTAAAATAAAATAATTAAATAACTAACAATATAAATAAAAAATTAATAAAATAATAATTAAAAAATTAATTAAATAAGAAATTAAAAAAAAAAATTAACTTACATCTTGCCCTAGTTGCCCCATTTCTGAATAGCATTCAACCATAGAAAACATTTATTTTTATTTCAAAAAAAATTTAATTATTTAAAATACGGAAACAATATCAAGAAATTCAAAAAAAAAACAATTTCTTGATTTCAAATAAATAGAAACAGCAGCAGTAACTTTTGCAGTAAACAGCAACAGTAACTTTTGTATGTATGTAGGTAACTTGTGTTAATTATTTAAATTTTCCCTTTTGTGGAGAAATGATGAAGACACACAAACACACACAAATTGTATACGGAGATTATTATTTTGTTTTCTTTTTGTATTTCCACCAACAAAAATATTGTAAAAATTTATTTTAAATGTATAGTTGATAAAACACAAAGAAAAATGTTCAGCATTAAAAAAAAATTTTTTTTTTTGGATCAGCTGTAGCAATAGTAACAATATGATGACAGTAACAAAAGAAGAGATTAACAATAATAATGTGAGTAATAAAGAATAAACAACAAAAAGAAAGAGAAAAACAAAAATTGTGAAGTGCAACTTTGTTTCTTTTCTTTTTTTTTTCTCTTTTTTCTCTTTACTGTTTTTTTTTTTTGTCTTCTAGCCTTTGTTGTTGTTTCTTTTATTATTCTTGTAGTTACTTTTTCTTATTCTTCTTTTTGCTCTTGTTATTTTATTTTTTGTACTCTTGTTGTTTTGTTATTTTTGTTTGTTTTATTTTTTTTTGTTGTTTCTTTATATTTGTGTGCAACGGGCATTCAATATGAAAAAAATAAACAATTTTTTTTTTGCAATTCTCTGGTTCTCTTTCTCTTTTATTTTCTTATTGTTGTTTTATTCTTATTTATTTTTGCAAATTTATTTTCGTTAATAAAATAAAGAGTCGATTTCGATTTTTTTGTTTTCTTTTAATTCAACTTTTGTCAAAAACAAAAAAAAAAAAAAGTTGGACAACACTCTTGTTTTAGGTTTTCCTTTTCTGATTTTCTCTTTTTTTTTCTTTTTCTTTCTATATGAAGTTTTCTTTAAACGATTTCACCAAAAAAACAAAAATATGAAACAAGATCAACAGATTAGTATGAACAGCTTCCAAGTTAAATTTTATGCAGTTTAGTTCTGATTTTTTTCTTTTGGTTTTGCTTCTGTTAACGAAATTACTCTATAAATGTTTGAGTAAATGTGCATATAATTTTTTGATTTGAAAATTTTGATAAGAAAAGAGAGTAAGATTTGATGGCAGTAAATTGTTAGCAGTAAAGTAATAATAAAAGTACAAAGAAAATAAGAGAAAATTATAAAAAACAAAAATTTCAATGTTGTCCCTATTTAAACAGGTTTTTCTTTTTTAATTTCTTTTTTCTCTTTCTCTCTTTTATTTCATATATTTATTTTCTCTTTTCTTTGTCTTATAATATACAATTTATTGCTCAGCTTTAATAATATTTTTGTTGTATTTTTACCTTTTTTATCATATGATTTGTATAAGGTATAAGATTACAAGTTAGATGGCAGAAAATAGTATGCAATTGTAAAGAAGAAATGCGCGATAATGTTATGCTTTTTTCTCCTTCCTTAATTTTTCCTCAAAATTTGAAAAGATTTCCACTTTCTTTCTCTTATTTTTCTTTGTTTATTGCAAATGGAAATGCTTTTCTTTTATTTTTATTGTTATATAGGCTGTTATTCTTTTCTCTTTCTCTAAGTACAAAACTTGTTGTTATTGAATTTGTAATTGTATTGTAAAAACAGTAGCTGTCTTATTTATTGTATTTCTAAATTAATCAGCTTCCAGCTTTTATAATATAGCGTTCAAGTTATTTTATGTGAGGAAAACGAAATCACGATTTTCTTTTTAAAAAAATCCTTTATGAATTTTAGTTTTAATCCTCTAGACGTCTTCTGAATCGTTTTTTAAAAATTCTCCACTAATTATACTCTAATTAATTAAGCCACAAATATGACACAGTAAAATATTTTTGAATTTTTTCCTTTGTTTTCTTCTCTATAAATATTGTTGTTGTTATAATGGAAAACTCTTCTGGTTCTTGTTAATTATCAATTTGTTTTCTCGTATATTTGCAATACAAAATAAAAATAATTTAAATAATTTTATTTTAAATCAATTGAGGCGGTGATTGTATAAATTATTAACAAATTTTAATTACGCGCGCTTATAATTGTATGTAATTTGCCGGTTCTGATGATTTTTATATTCAAGAACAAAATTTTAATTGAATTTTAATATTTTTAAATTTAGTAGAGTTTATTTTTGTATTGTTTTTATACGCGAATTCTTAAATTATGTGTTATAGGTTGAATTCAGAAATAACAGAAATTGATCCACGAAATTATGAAAAAAAAAAGCAACGACTTGATGATGTGAACGATCGGAACAATGCGTGATGAATCGAAAAATTGAAACTGAATTATTTTTTTTTTGTTTTTTTTTTATTATTATTTTTTTTAAAAATGCATGCGCAGTCGTCTCAATTTATGTTGTTATAAAGTTGAAGCGCGGGAGTCGACTATAACTTTTATAAAATTTAGATATGAGCGCAGCACTGTAAACACAACAAAACACTTGCTTAAGTTTGAAAAGAGCGCAAGAGTTGAATTTTTTAGTAAAACAAAATGTCTGTAGGTTTTTTTTTTTTGTTTCTTTTTTTAAGTTATTGGTTTTTTTTTGGTTGGTTTTTTCTTTCATTTATTTTGTGTTCATTTATTCGCGTTATTATTCACGTTTTCTTTTTTGTTTTTTTTTGTCTTGCTTTTGTAATATTGCTGTTGTTGTTGTTTTAATAAGTGTTAATCTTTTTGGTTTTTAAATAATATACTTTGTGTGTATATAAGAGAAACGAGGTAAAAATATACGGTGAATTATTATGGTGTATAAATGGTGTGTGTGATGTGGTATAGAGCGCAACTTGTTTTTTTTCTTTTGTTTTCTTTTTAAATATAAAAACTAACTGTTATTATTGGGTTTGTTTTCTTATGTTATTATTATTATTTTCTTCTCCACTCTATACCTTTGATTTTTTATCTCTTTCTTGTAAATTTTTTTCTCTTTCTTTTTGAAATATTAAATGATATAATAAATTTTTAGTATTTGATTTTTGATTAAAATTGTTTTCAATATTCATTGCTATATATATATATATATAGCTTATATATACTTAATAATATACTTAATATATATATATATATAGATGTAATGTAAATAAATATATAAGGGAAACGTTATATATATATGTATGTATATTATATTTATTTTTAATTTATATTTTCACTTCAAAACCATGTGCTTAGACTTTTATATTTGTTTTATTTTTTATTAATATAATTATATTTTTTCTTTTTAAATTAATTATATATGATTTTATTATTTTATGATTTGTTTTATTACCCTTTTTTTTTTAAAAATTAATTAGAGTTGAGGTATAGAAAGTATGTATGTATAACTTTTGGTTTTCTTCTATTTAATTTTAATTGTTATGGTTTTAATTTTAAATTTTGATTTAATTTTAATTGTTTGCTATTAAAAATATAATTTAAAACAAAATATAGAATAAAACAAAAAAGTTTTTGTTATGATTTACAATTTTTATTAATATATGAATTAAAATTTTTTATTATTAATTTTATATTAAAATTATTATTTGTTATAATTATAATTGTTATAAAATTTTCATAATATTTTTCATAAAATAATGATAATAAAATTTTTTGATAATTATCATTAATTAATTTTGATTTTTCTTTGGTTTTATTATTTTTTTGAAATTTTATATTATAATTTATTATTTCAATGAATTTTGTTATTTGTGCATTCATTTGCACAAAATTTATTTTTAAATATTTCCGGTCTTTATTAACAATTGCTAATATATGAAAAATTAAATTATTTATTTTTCTATATACGAGAACAAATTTTATATATGTAAATTTTAAATACTCTAATTATTTTCATTAAAATGTTTATTTTTTTGTGCTCTCTCTCTCTAATATTTGTTTTCAAATTAATTTTTAATATTTTTTACCTTATTTTAAGTTCATTCTTTGCAATTTGAAATTATTGTTACTGATGGCCGGATAAATTTTTTTGATTTTGTTTAGTTCTATTATTGTTTTTTTTTGTTTTAAAAACAAGGCAATTTATATTTTGATTTGTTTCCAAGTAGCTGTATAGTTGATTTACGGATTAATTCTGAAAAAATAAGAAATATGAAAAATTTATTATTTAATGTCATTTTTAAATTGTGTATTGTAAATATTAAGTATATTAATAGTATATATTAATAGTACATGCATGTATATGTATATATGTTCGTACATAATGTATGAAAAGGGTATACAATACTTTGCTAACAGTATTTAGTTTTGTACAATCGTTTCCAAAAAAAATGCAACCGATTAGTTAGGTATTCCGAAAAAAAATCTCATTCCGAATCTGATTGATTCATAAAGGACACCAAAATATAACCGAGTAGGTAACTGTTTCGATTTCGGATACCAAAAGATTCCGAATTTGACTCCGAATTTTACTCCGAATTTTTTTTTTTAATTTTCTTGAGTTTAAATTCAATTATCTTTAAATTTAAGCTTATATAATATAAAATGTAAAATTAAGCCTATTAGCATAACCTTAGTATAAAAAGTATAAGAAAATAAGAATTTGAAAACAAGTTAAGAACATTCTTTTATATATAGTAAAATATAAGTGAACCTGAATTCAATTACGAAATCAATGTGAAACAGCACTCTTTACTCAGATCACGACAACGAATCTGATCAGTATTCCGATTATGATTCCGATACCAATTCCGACTCCGAATTCTATTATAATATAATTTATTATTATTGAACAAATAATTAAATTAAAAATTGTAAAATTTAAAAAATTTCCTTCATTCATACATACACACATCTTCTCAAAAACTATTGTTTACATATTTCCATACTTATTCAATTACATGTATGTAAGAATATTAAATTAATTGAAAAACAATTTACCTACGTTATAGAAAAAACAAAAAAACAATTTGCATTCCCTTCAAAAAATTCTTCAATAATAAAATTGTTTTTCTCTAAAATATAATGTACATATACAAAATATTTACATATTATGCGTGTATGTACATATATATGTAATGCTAAACATGTTTAACATGTAACATTTAAAATGTAAATAAATAAAATTCATGTAAATAAATAACATGCATACATACGTGAACATTATTATTTACTCGTACCAATTCTCTTGTTTTATACAA